TGATCCCCCTGCACAACACCGAAAGGTGCCCTGTGAGTCCAAGGGTTACACACACCACACACACACACACCTGACATATGCACATCTTTGACAGCGGCGCGGGAATCTCTCGTATCTTGTTAGTGCTACAGGGCGAAGGAGAACAAAGGCTGCTGTGCATGCTTCATGTTGTGCTGTGGGGTGGTTGCAGGGTAGCATCTTAATGCAGTATATATCTTACTGACTCAAAGGGAACCAATTTGTTTTCTACAAAGAGGATCACAGAGTTGATGTGTGATGGGGCGGGTTTGAGGGTTGGTGTCTTTCTTTTCGATCGACTAGTAGTTCGCCTTTGAGCTGCTGTACGATAAGGATGACCACAGCTCTTGGCACAGTTGTTCTATGCCTCATGTCGAAGATTGTCAATCCAAATTCTCGCCTGTGATCTGGTAAAGGACCACACCTAGAAAATAATAGAAAATACTGATATACTGGTATGGCCAAGCAGTGTCAAACAGTGAACACATGCACAATCATGCACACATGTTAAGACCTATCACTGATCGCATGCCAAGCTTTGATACAAACCTGCCTGCTTGTGGGTGTGAGTTGGACCCACGGTGTCTCCTTCTTCGGTGAGACAAGTGGGTCCTCTTGCGGACATTGCGTTCGGTCGACGCAATGGCCTCAGAACAGGAAGACCCCAAACCAAACGCCAAGAGCCATTTTGCACCAACAGCCAATGGCTGTTCCATCAAGGCCAGCAAATTTTAAACAAGTGTGTGCATGTGCATGTGTGCCAACACCACCCTAAGGCCAGCTCCGCTTCTAAGCGCATTTCCATTTGAGCAATCTTGGTGGCAGCTGTGCTGTGATCATTCATCAGCTGCTGGAGGTTGTAACGTACGAAGCGCGTGGTGGTCTTGGAGTCAAATGCCTCGCATGCTCAAATGCTCCTACGTAGAGTGGTTTCTAGAATGGCATAGAATGGCTATTTCCCTGCCATGGAGACCTATCACGAGGTGCATATCCAGTCCAATGCAAGATGATAAGAACAATCACGATGTCTCACGATAAACAATCAATATAGACGTTGATCATCACACAAGGCGACATCAACTGATGTTTCGTGGCAGACGAGCCGCCCATCGTGATAAGGTTTTCTTGAACTCGTCCGGATCAATAGTTCCACCACCATCGTGGTCAAGCATCAAAAAGAGTTGCTGCAAATCGTTCTGGTCGATGTCCATTACGCGCAGCCGATTTTGAAACTCGCGAACTTTCATTGCACCTTCCAGGAGCTCATCGAAGGTCAAAGTTCCGTCATTGTTGGCATCGATTTCAAGGAACATCTTGTCAAGGTCTCGTAGGTCCTCCTCGGCATCTTCATCCATTTCCATTGCCATGGTCGTCACATCTCGCATGCGCTGTTCGGCAAAAGTATCAACGACAACCTGCCGGCATTCATCATATTCACCCAACTGTCTCACCCGGGGACCCCAGCTCAATCCCAAACACAGCCGATCAAAACCACAAACATACTGCATACTTCACAAGCAATTGGGTCAACCGAGCCCGCCACTGCAACCACCAAATTAAGCACTCCGAAGACAATGGTGAGGTGGGAGCCAATGAATATTCCGGTCGCCACCCATGGGTCAGCTTCAATCAAAGGCACTGCCACGTCACCCCAACTATCACCAGCCACCACGGTCTTGAAGATCAACAGGTTCGCATACAAGACCGAAGTTAAGGACTTGGTGCAAAACTCGCAATCCTGCGAAGGATCTTCTTCCAAATGGTTGACAAGACTCAGAGACGGTCAGTTTAGGGGCAGCATGACATGACATGACTGCATTTCATGATGCAAATGTTGCTGAAGACCTTGCATGAGACTTGCATCAGCTTCAATGAAAAGGAGAGAGAACGCCAAACGCCACGAGCTCCTCCCATTCTCCCCTTGCGATCATCTCTGGCATCAAGGGGCTCAACAACTCCACAGCGAGCATGGCCCACGATGTCATGATCACAAAGCAAAAAAGGAAGGACCAGCACAAAGTCCTGAGAGGAGTGGATATGGACAAAAATGGGAAATATCTGACCATTCTTGCGCGCTTTTTTGAATGTGCTTTTCTGAAACTCGAAATGGGAGCCGACAAGAAAAAAACAATGCAAGAAAAACGTCCGGAAGACCGGGCCAGTTGCTCGTCCATCAGAAGAATAGTATTTTTTTATTTTTTTTTGGTCTGGCTTAATCTCGCTATAGTTTGGGTGGAGGTTCAAGTGGGCCGCGCATACTCAGCGTAGAAGGGCGCAACCAACAGGCCAGCCTGTTCAACTACAACAAAACTCAATGTTTCTTGATGTCGCGCTGAGAGGCTTGAAGCAAAGCCCTGTCATCTTCAAGAGCTTCCTCAGCTCCTGCAAGCTTGTGAAGCGCGAGCATCCAGGCGCGCTAATTACACGGCAGTTTCAAGCCTTTCATGGTGCTTCATCTAGTGACTCTAGATGAAAAAGACCCCTCACCAGCTCACCAGCCAGTTTCATCGGGAGTCCAGTCCTTCAGGAAGCGGAATTTGCGGAAAAGGCGAAAAAGCCTCATGATTCGAACGACTCTCCTCAGCAGGGTGCCGCTTCCGGTTCGTTGTTGGTCGGGCGTCTTCATTCGTCTTTCCTCCTTACTTTTTGATGGTAGATCAGTTCATATTGAGTCCCAAGTCTGGACTGACCTAAATGGTACTTGCCAAATACCGGAGCAAAAACATAGTATTACAAGGCGTTCATGGCATCAAGGAAGCAAAGAACTATAAATAGATATATACATATTATAGATAAGTACACCTGGTTTGTCACCTGTGCACAAACGTGGTTCTCAACAAGGCGGTTTCACTGCCCAAGGCTAAGGTTTGGAACTTCTTGAGCCCCTAATTATTGTAGCCCTCTGGCTAGTCTACTCCAACGCTACTGAGTCAAAAGGCTAAATCGGCTAAATATGGCTAAATACATGCTGATACATGCATGTCAGCTAGACGCTGCCTCCACGCATGGCGAAGAACATGCTCCTGAAATGTTGTTCCCCGTCACCCTGGCTTCAAACACACCCACAAGCAGGAAGTCCACTAACACCTGTATACACACCATAGTGGCTGCACCTCTCTAAGCTCACAAAGCTTTACATCTTCACTAATGCCATCCAGCAACAAAATTCTCAAGAGCGTGACCTCATCCACAGATATTCCAATGGCACTCAGGAAGAGCTGCAGGAGACCGGATCCCACAATGACCACGTCCAACAAAAACCATTTATCCTGAAGAACTCGACGGCCATGAAGGACGGTTATAGCAATCATTTCTATGGTGTAGATTGCCAAGCAAACGGTCGCAGAGACATCAAGCCACAAAGGAGTATCTCGCCCAGATGCCCTGATGTCGATGTCCATCCAATTCAACCCAACATCCACCATGATAATGACACCTGTTGCGACATCGTACTTTGTAGACCTCATAAGTCGTTCTATTCTCCCTGCAGCGCTTCTGTCTTCTTGCTGCTTCATCAAGAAAGATTGAAGCTTCACAAATTTGGAATTGGGGGCCACTGCGACCTTCGCTATATCTTCCGCCCCGAGTCCTGTACCGGCGGAACGCGTCGCCTCTGGTTGATCCACACTAGTGGCGGTTTTGAGTTCTCCAGATCTGGACATCTGCCTCCTGCCCTCAAGATTTCTCCTGTCTTTCTTCTTCTTCTTCTTCCTCTTGCTTTGATCTTGCGACTCTGCTGCCGATTCAGGAGAGCTAGGATCATCGGCTTCCTCCGCTAAGCTCTCAATGGTGGGCGAGTCAGGTGGGGACTCAGGATCTCCGATCGTCTCTGGGGATGATGACGGTCTCTCCATGTCATCTCCGCCCCCAGGAGAGGGCGAAGTCGCCGAAGCCATCAACCCACGTCTTCCCCACGACGTTTTCTGCTTCGTGGTTAAACTGGCTGGAAATGGCTGGAATCTGATCAAACATTTGCTCATGTGCTCTACAGTACCCGCTGCCTGTGTGCAATGGGCTATCAGGATAAAGTGCCTCCCCACCCACTCACCTCTGAGCCGGCATGTTCCTTGAACGGACCGCACAAAGCTCATCAACTCAAAATACTGCCCGAGAGGTTGACTCACTTTGGCAGTGCCGACGCCGACAAGCGCTGACGATGTCCAACAAAATATGAACTGCATCGAGCCTAACTTCACCTTAGATATCTTTAGATGAATACCTTAGATATGTTCGCACCGTAAATCTGCACTTCTCTCAATGCCTTTTCACGCACCAACCTCGCAGCATTTGACCTCGCCAAGCGGGGGCTCCACTGTACTTGAGGTCGACCTGCTCCACTGCCATCCAGAGGTTACCTGTGCTGCACAAATGCCGGGGCAAGTGTTTTCCGATGTTTTCCGTGTTGCCTTTCCTACACAGCTCGCATGCACGCCGGCGGAAGGCCTGCCGGTCATGGAGTTCATGTTGTGTCAGCCTTTTGGCCAGTTTCAGACAGTTCTGGACCACATAAGGACTCAATCGGACTCAATCCATCCGTGTTTGGCTTCCAAATGTTTCAGGCCACCACAAATGCCTTGATTGGTCCAAATCTGACCTGCCATGGCGAATGACAAACCCAGCAACCCAGAAACGGTGGACAGGCACAACTCGATCCAGGAACAAAAGCCAGCAGTCAAGCATCACACATCATCACACACAGCTCCTCTCAAGGGATCTTGCCTTAGGTTTTCTTCCTCTGACCCAAGCAACTGCCATTGCTCCTGGGTTGTGTGGCACCTGAAATCTCAACGCGCTACAGTCCAGGTTGCGGGCGCTTGGCATGACAGTTTCTGTACAAATCTATATAGGTGATCATCTGCACAGCCTGCGTCTTACTGCCCAGGGCCTTCAGGACCTGCTCACTATGGATGTTTGATATCAGCATCTCCGAATGAAATGCTCGGCCTTTTGCAAAGCCTCTTGTTCAAGGCCCATGGCCTCGACATACAATGAGAGGAGAGTCTAGGTGACTGTCCAGTGTCCCACTAAGGCTTCGTCGGCACACAGAAGAAAATCACCCATCTGAATTGCGTCAACCTCGGCAGAATCAACACCAAAATGCTTGCAGGAACGCACATCCAATAAATTAGGTGCCACGCAAAAAATCCCAAATTTTTCAAGTCCTCTTCCTAGGGCTCTGTCGGTTGGTCAAGTTCATGTTACAGTTCTAGATGTTCTAGTCTATGTAGTCACCCTAGGGAAAAATGAAGAATAATTCTGTGACAACAGCTCTACCTAAAACACTCCAACTCCAGTCTGTGTGCTTGTATTGTCCTATGGCCCTATCCGGGGCCTTCAACCCACACACTTCTCGGACGCCGTCTGGGCCCAAAATGCACAGACCGCACTCCCACCGAAGTGGACGTTTTGGAGTCGACCACCAACCGACACACAACACGCGCACTGTACCGACACAGACTTCAAAGGTGTGTGGAGTGGGACTGTGTGTGTGTGTGCGAAACCCTTGGAATCACAAATCCGTTAATTTGTTTGTAGTTTTGTTTGTGTGTTTTGATATTTTTTGACAGCAGGGGGGTGGAGAGGACGTATGAGGCTCCATCCAACGAAGCTCCTCATACGCTCCTAGGATATATTAATCAGGGATGCCTGATGACGTACCTGTTTCAGTGATGACTTTCACTCCCCACTGGGCCCCGTTTTTACGACAACAAGATTTCCAGCCTTCGCACCTGTTTTGAGTTCTGCAGTCAAGTGCTCGTCGCTCGATTGCCCGTCGACTTCCGCAAGTTCTTGACCTTGGCATTTTGAAGACTTTGACGGTTCATGGACAAACTGTCTTACTTACTTCAACCCTGACCTCTTAGACATTCATACCTAGGTGGGCGTGTGGCATGTGGCATTCAGTTCAGTACGCAATATCTCGTGTGTCTGGCTTCATGCCAGCCCAGGGTGTACCCGAGGAGTGTGGACAGCGGACGGAGTAGGCTTGTGCCAAAGTTATTTGCCAAGATTCGGCGGACTGTTGCAACTGAGTAGGCGGCCCCAGGGCACGCCAGAACGTGTCCGCAGCGGACGTGAGCAGCCAGCCACTTTGGCAACGCCCAAGTAGACCACAGATGTTTTTGACCCATTGGGGTCAGCCACAGCCCTCCTCCTCCTCCTCCGGTCCCTTTTGTCTCTCTCTCTCTCTCTCTCTCCTTTCTCTTCCCTCCCCCTTTCTTTCTTGCTTGGGTGTCCCTGGATGCTTCCGTCATAGCTGGGAACCCCGCTTTTCTGCTATTCAAGTTTTTTCTTGACGTCATGTGTGGCGCCCCCAGTCTCCAAGAAAATCTTACCTTGTTCTTCGCGTTGGCTTGGCCAATGCCGCCTGCAGCCGGGCCTCTGCTGCAGGGCTCCATGTAGACGCGCGAGTTTGCGTGCCTTCTCCACGGCGGCGCAAACGGATGTCTGGTGTGTCCTTGGACGCTGGAGTCGTAGCTGGGAACGCCATCGTTTTGTTTCTTTTCTTCTCCTCTTTCCTTCGTGCGCAGAGTGTCTTACAAGCAAACTAGGCGTTTACAACAGGTGGCTTGATGAGGCTCGGCTTCTCATCGGTTTGTCCCCTTTCATTTGGTTCCCTCGTCATTGGCCCACGCAGACTTCTTTTCCTTCTTTTCTTTCATGTCCTTTCTGTCTTCATGTCCCGTCACCCTCACCCTTTTCTTCTCTTGCGCGCACATCGGTCCGGCCCTTAGTATGTATATGTGTGCCCGTACATTTCAAATCGGCATGAGGCGGCCCAGGTTTTTGACAAGGAAGTGTGGCTCATCGGTTGTCCCTGTGCGCTTGGTCTCCCCTCCACCGCAATTGCATACCTTGGTCTTGTCTCGTCTTCTTCTCATGTCTTCCCTTTTTGCCCCTCTTGCGCGCACATGTGCACATTAGTCCTTGACTCTCACTCCTGAGCGTCTAGCACTTAGCAAAAAGACTCTGCCTCCTTCAACGGGAGTCGTGTGTGTGAAACCCTTGGAATCACAGGGCATCCGTTGATTTGTTTGTGTGTTTTGATACTTTCTGACAGCAGGGGATGGAGAGGACGTATGAGGCTCCATCCAACGAAGATCCTCATACGCTCCTAGGATATCATCAGGGATGCCTGATGGCGTACCTGCTTCAGTGATGACTTTCGCGTCCACTGGGCCCCATTTAAACTACAACAAGATTGCCAGCCTTCGCCCTTTTTGAATTCTGCAGTCAAGTGCTCGTCGCTCGATTTCTCGTCGACTTCCGCAAGTTCTTGCCTTTGGCCTTTCGAAAACTTTCAGGTTCATGGACAAACCGTCTTACTTACTTCAACCCTGACCTCTTAGACATTCATACCTAGGTGGGCGTGTGGCATTCACTTTAGTACGCAATATCTCGAGTCCCTTCGAATCACACAACATGGGGGGCACAGGGGGCCCATAGAGCTGTGCCCAATGAAGCCCTCTATGGTGACCTCAGGATATGCAGCCTGATCAGCTGCGCGTACCTGCTCATGTCCTAATGCTCATTACCGTCTGGTCCCTGCTTGTAATTAGAACACTGTGCTCAATCTTTGCAGCGGAACTTCATCCGCAGATGTGCAATGTGCACCTTGAGTCTTGAGTTTCGATTTTGCACTTTGAGCTTTGGACCTAAACTTTCAACCTTGTGGTTTTCAACTTCGACCATACTACATACCTTTCCCTGGAACTCGTGGGGGCCCGGGGTGAGCCCGAGGAGTGCCCCCCGTGGCCTTGCTAAGCAAGGGTTTGTCCTTCTTCCCCTGCCCGGGAACGAGTAGCTCGCAGCGAGCGAAGGAGGCTTATGCCAAAGTCACGAACTATTGGGACCAAGTACGCAGTTTCGAGCAAGCCAAAGGTGTCCATAGCGGACTCCAGCCGCCCGCCATTTTTTCATGACACACGGTGACCAGAGCGGTCAAAGTTCATTAAGGTCCATTGTGGAAACCTCAAGTGCACACACAGCGCGCAGACTTCATACCAGGCTAGGTCTACCTAGGTCCGTTTTAATGTCGTCGGTTTCTGGCCCCTCCATTTGGTTCCCTTTTCTTTTTTCCATTTGCATACATTCTTTTCCTTTTTCGTTTCACATCCTTCTGTCTTCACGTCTTGGCACCTCATCCCTTCTCTCTGTTGTGCGCACATTTGTCTGGTCCTCAGTATATGCGCGCTCGTACTAGTGCTCGTACTCTAAACCCAGGTCTGAGGCCCCCCCACGTGGTTAGAAGGAGGTTTGGTTCATCGGTTGTCACTGGTCACTTGGTTTCCTTTCATTACAACCACATACACCCGGTCTGTCTTGTCCTCCTTTCATTTTCTCATCTGTCTATGCACACCCGTCTGAAGCTTAGCTTTTCTGCGCCTCTCCTTGTTGGAGGCGTGTGTGTGAAACCCTTGGAGTCACAGGGAATCTTCGGGCGTCGAAAATTGTAAGTTACATTTTCCTGCGCGCAGGGCCTCAAAAAATGTAATTACATTAACTTTGAGGTGGCCTCAAAAAAGGTAACTTACATTTTTGAGGCCTCATGGGTGATTTCCTGGGGAATGACCTCAAAAATGTAAGTTACATTTTTGAGGCACAGAGGAGCGCTTACAATTTTAGACCCCCCCCCATCCCCACACTAATTTCTGCTCACGACCACGTCCCGCATGGTCAAATGCGGCATTTCAAGGAAATGCCTGCCGAAACATGTCAGCCGTCAGCCATCAAGTTGAATGATGCTGCCCGCGGCCGGCTGCATCATTAGCATTTTTTGAACTGAAAAAACAAATATATAAAATATATATGTTGTTTTGTTACAATTCTTTTTGGCCGGGGGGGTCTTCCATACACAACTCCTTCTGCAGCAACAAGCCACACAAAAACAAAGCAGATGAGGGAACAGCAGTGGGTCTGAGTCATCATCAACAAAGAAGAACAGGAAGCATACCCAAAGCAAACTGCCAAGAAACAGGAACATACATGTTCCCACTGAAGACCCCAAAGGAAGGCAACAAAGCGAAACCCAAACATAACAGACGATCACACTCCATACACAATAAGCAATAATGGAGAACAATAAAGGAGAGGCTGCCTGTTCTATTGGGCAGGAGAACAAGGATATTCAACGCCGTTTGATCCCCTGGTTTCTTGCCCCCTGCTTGCGGTTCGTGTGGTCGGACGTGTGTGCTTTTCAGTATGCTAAAATGTAAGTACCTCAGGGGGACACCCCAGTTCCTTGTAAATTCTGGGGAGTTGGGCATGTGGCCAAAATGTAAGTTACAATTTGTGAGGTCAAACTTTCTCACAGAACCCATGTATTCCCTGTAAAATCTGAGGGTTTGGATGCGTGGACTAATTGTAAGTTACAATTTTTAACGTCTGCAAATCTCACCTTTCGCCTGTGTCCTGGTCCTGCATTTTTTGGAGGCTATGTTTTCCTTGGTGTTGAGGCATCAGCAAACAGTTGCCAAATAATACTTTTAGTTAATTACTTATTTAGAAAATATTTCATTAAGTGACTCCCACCCGCAAATAATTTCTTAGTGATTGGCGTATCTTCGATCTGCCAACGCACCCTAGGGGGGGGGAGTAAAAAAAATGTAAGTTCAGGCCTCCCAGGTCCCAAGTTACATTTTCCAGACCCCCCCCCCCCCCCC